CGTTCATAAACGTACAATATTGGCTTCACATATACTCCCTCCTTCTCCCTCCCTCTCAAGTTTCCCCCCATTTTTCTTCTCCATGTCGTAGCTGAGGGCCGAGGATTGTATCTATGTATCTAGCGACTTGGTTTTGCTAATAGAAAGTATTACAGCCTACCCCGGAAATAATTACCGTAAATGTATTTTTTCCCTAATTAAAATATGTATTTCCTCTGATGTTTCACGTTTCCCCCCGCCGAGTCGAAAGCGTAGGCCAGGCGCGTACGCGTGCCCCGGTATGTTATTTCCCCCAATAAAGCAAAATATGTGAATCCATACGAAATCAGATATGGCGGGGGATTTCAAGTTCATTTTTAAAGTCATCAGCTTTGCCATTACCGGATCGCGAGTGCGCGATGCATTCGGCGGATCACTCCACATTCGGCCATCACGCTTGTTGTGTGTGGGGGCGGCGGGGGGGCTCACTTTGCGGGGTGACTCGAGCGTCTCCCGGGGGCTCACTTGTGGCTCACTCGTCCCACTCGTCTCACTCGCGGCTCACGAGGGCCGACTCGGGGCACAGGTGTTGTGCTTGGGATGGGCCCAAGACAACCAGGTGATTGACGAGTTCCTCCCGCTCCCTCCCACCCCTCCCCCACCCCCTCGTCATGCCAAGTAGATTGATCGGCTGATTGGTTGATTGATAGGCAGAAGCGGTGCGGGGGTTGATGAGCTGAGCAGAGTCATTGTCGCACCTCTTCGTCTCGGGGGCACACATGTGCGTGGGGGTTGGGGTTAGGGTGAGAGAGAGAGAGAGTGGGATAAAGGGCTGGGGTGGGGCAGTCATAGAGCTATGAATTTCCGGTGGTGGTGGGGGGGAAAGGGGGGCCAGGGGGAGTCGTGCGGTAGCTTTGAGTGAGCCCCTCCCCCTCCCCCTTCCGGGCCCCCGGCGGCTCGCTTCTGCCGGCCTGTAACGGAAAGCCAACGCCACCGATCAGAGGAATTTCCTCTATTGAAACAAATATGTTCCGTGCGCAGGCGGCAGGGAGGAGGCTGCGAGGCAAGGGCGAGAGCGGGGGGTGGGGGAGGGGGTATGAGCCAGGGGGAGTGATCTGCGAAGAGAGACAGTGATAGGGAGCAGAGCGCCCCCATACTGGTGAAAGGTACACGCTCCTGGCGACCAGCATTTTTTTCGCATCATGCATGAAACGGAATTTAAAAAAAGCTCGTAACAAGGTTCTCTCCCCCTTCCCCCTCCCCTACCCCACCATTCCTTTTTTTTCCTGCAAAATTTCAAGCGCGGGCAGTCGTCGGTCCCGGCAGGAGGGGTTCCTCTTGCCCCCCCCTCTCTCTCTCCCACAGGCGATGTCCGTCCTGGCCTAGTAGCGACTGATCCGACGATCCATCGGAGGGGAGGAGTTAGGGGAGGCAGTGCACCCAATGATTAATACGTTCTTTATTGTCGCGGCACCCTCTGTGGGTGTGTGCGCGCGCGCGCGTATGTGAGTGTATGAGTGTATACGAATGTGAGAGAAAGGCTGTGTCCAGGTCGCCATTGCTCTGTTTGGCTGTTGGGCGGTTCTGTTCGAGGCTATCCTCCTCTCCCCCCAACATATAACTGCCGAATGTCTTTTCACTCGTGTGATATGTCTCTGTATTTTTGGATTTGGATCACATCTATCTATCCATCTATCTATCCATCTATCTATCTATCCATCTATCTATCTATCTATCTATCTATCTATCTATCTATCTATCTATCTATCTATCTATCTATCTATCTATCACGGTAATTGATACATTGTCCACCCCATTTCTCACACGCATTGCCCCTCTGTCCAGACCCGCAAGACACACGCACGCAACCGTGTGCTTTCTTCCCTCAAACGTACGCTATCTCTCTTCCTCTTGCAAGCACCCCCGCAGGGTGGAGAGTGGGTCCCTGCTGAGATTCCTGCTCTCCCCCCCTCCCCCTTACCCTTTGCCTGGCGGGACAGGTGCATCTCAGGATGCCCTGGAGCAGCCACTCTGCAGGACCAGCAGCCGCCCTCGGCTCCCTTACCACCTCACACTCGCTTTTTCTTCTCCTGATTCCGACTGAATTCAAATTGACGCAGCGGAGCTAGCAGGCGATATTATTTTGCAGAACTGCCGTTCTTTTGCCACGCACACAAACGCCGACAGCAGCCGTCTCCATGTCTAATGAGATGTCACGAAGTCAGCGCTTCCCCCCCTCTCCCCTTCCCCTCGCTTTCACTCGCCCGCTCTCGATAGCGCACGCTGCAGTTCGAACAGCGGTGGCGCGCGCGAGACAGCTGACAGGCTTAAGGGCCCCACCGGCCTTATATAACAGCCGCAAAGCAAACGCCGCAGTAAAAAGAAAACCTGATGTGCCTCCGCGAGGGAGCCTCTTCTTGGCGTACGTCTATACCCTGGCAATCCGACTATTTTCTTTGGCAATCTCCAGCAGGTCAGAGGGGCAAAACAGCCTAGACTGTTCCGTAAAAGACCGGGAGAGCGGACCCCGTTGTTGTGTTGCTGGTCTGCCTACTCCCTCCTCCCGTAAGGTCCACGGCCCGTGCGGCCTAAAGACAATTTGCAAACCCGCAACACTGAGCGCGTTCACTTTTCTCCGATTTTCTCTGATGCACCCGGTACGGTGAAAGTTGTGCGTTTTTCTTATTTTCAGGCGTTTAGTGTTTTTTGAAAAAAGGCTTTAAGCACCGCCAAATGAAAAAAAAAAGAAAAATCATGCAATTTTTAGAACCGGTTTACAATCTGAAAGGGAGTTGGCCCACCTTCCAAATGTTACTTGTAATGTTACCGAAATATTTTTTTGTTTTCAATCTTAATCCACAAAAATTATTGTGTGTGGGTTGTGTGTTAAGGACCCAAGACCCGGGCGGCCGAGGGCCCGGCCGCCCTGGTGGCACCTCAGACCTCTGGCCCTGACAAATCACCTCTCGATAGTCTCGCTGGACCATTTATTTGCGTCACACCCGCCCCGCCACACGCCACGCTGGCGCACGATATCTCGAGACTGATATCTTAGCGCGCCGCGATACCACCGCGAAAAAAAATGTATACAAATATAATGTACTTTACTTTCCTGTAACTATATATTGAGCTGTTATACAATGCTTTAAGCGGATGTACAGGTATACCTGTATACAGGTGTGATCAGTGGGCAGCACGCCACCCGTGCGCGCGTTTCCACGAGTTTATCTTGTTTGGTTCATTGTCTCATCGAAACAGATTGATACTTGAGTACAACCCCAATAACGTGCCAAATGCGATTACCACCGATTCGTTTGTTTTTTTCTTTAATTATATTGCATCAGTAACACGAGCGTCTCCACGGTTTGAAGGAAGACTCCCGCGGCGGGGCTGGCAGTTGGCAGCACTCTGCCCGTGTTGTGTTGGCAGACCTGCCCGACCCGACCCAACCCCCGGGCCGACAGCTAATGCCACTCTTCCATCACGCAGGCGCCCCCTGTTTTTCTTTGCCCAATAATTTCACACCTTTTTCATTGTCTTATTCTTTTATCTGTTATCTTTATTTGGGACACGGCCCTCCACTCTGCCTGCTTCCTGATCAATGTGAGTCCTTAGAGCCCGGCAGCCTCGGCAGCTCCCACGCCACCGGGCCATGGCACGGCAGACCACCGCACAAGCCACTTTCCCGTTTGTCGGCGGCGCAGCGGCGAAAAATCCCTCTCGGAGACAACAGATAATTTTACTTAAAATTAAGTGAGCGGAGGTTTTTGGTCCCACGCACGATGTGAGAGAAAGATGCCGTCGCGAGTGTTCTGTATTTCGTCATGTCTTAATCTGGTAAAACAAGTGGTTAATTTGTTTCAATCAATGTGTTCAAGTGTGAAAAGTTTCGACACATTGTGATGTCTAAGTAGACATCATTAAGTGTGCAAACGTGTAGCAGCTGCACACCATCTATGGTTCCCGCTGATAGCATAGAAACTGTGTTTGTGTCCAATTCTGCAACATTTAGAAACGAAACGTCTTAAATTTGCACATCACGCAAAATGTGCAAAATTTGCCCACCCGGTTTTACCAGCGAGAGTGTGTACGCGATTTTACAGATCCCACTCATTTTTCCTTGTATATTCCGCGGAATTTTCATTTTCGCGATCAGCATTCCTGCGGGCGAATCCTCCCCGCGGGGCCCGGCGGCCCTGCTGCGACCTTCCGCGCTCCGAAACACGACCGCCCCCCCCCCCC